GAGCGGGAAACATTATCCAACAGAGATGTTCATTTAGTTAGGACAATGTTCTCAAACACAGCAGATCTGATGACTGAAGATTCAGAAATCAAGATGTCCGGATCTGGACCTCCTGGCTAGCTAATCCGGACCCAACCTGATTTAAAAATGTAGAAATTACCGCATGTCTAATTCACTCGTGTAAAGTCGGGCACCACTCGGAAGAATTTGGAAATGCAACAGTTGAAACAGCCGCTTCCCTACGACTTTAAAATGGACAAAATTTTTTTTTTTATTATTTCTTTTATTTAAAAAGTCAATATATAACATGGATGAATAAATACCTCATTTTATTTCATTGTTATAATAAAAAATGTCTCCAGACCTTTACTGGTTGATGATTTTCTTCATTTGGACCCTACTGATTTTTAATTGGTTACCCCTGATCTAGACAAGAAATGTTTCAATGACGGACTTTTTGTTTTCCGCGGTGTTGGAGTGTAGCCGTTACCTTGGTGTCTTTATGTGGATTAGAGTGTTACAGCCAGAAATGTCNTCTGTCATTCAGACATACACTGCAAAAAATCTAAATCGAGATAAGTCATTTTTTCTTAAAATAAGTGCATTTGTTCTTGAATTGAGGAGATAAAATAGACATTTTGCCAATAGAACAAGACAATTTACACTTAAAATAAGAAAACACAATTGCATTGTCTTATTTCAAGTGCATATTATCTAATTATTTTATTTTAAGAGTGAAATTACTCATTCGATTGGCAAACTATCTCATTTACCTGCTCAAATTAAGGGTGAATACACTTAATTTAAGAATTTTGTACTTATTTCTAGATCGTTTTTGCAGTGTATTTTTATCCTCACATCAAGCTGTCTGAGGTTTACTGCAACAATTCATTTAAAAATAAGTCAATATTTCTTAAATTACATTTAAAACATTATTTCCAGTGCAAAATGTCTTATTTTAAAGGCAAAAATATTCCATCGGCAGATCCTCTTATTAACCTTTTCAAACTTGTTTTTAGATCCGTTTTTGCAGTGTAGTAACTATAATACTGCAAAAACCATCTATCTTTAATTTGTGCAGGTAAATAAGATGATCTGCCAATGATTCAGTATTTTTTATCTTAAAATTAGATGACTAGATAAAATGCACTTGACATAAGAAAATGCAATTTTTTTCCTATTTTAAATGTAAACTTTCTCGTTCCATTGGCAAAGTGTCTCACTTACATCCTCACTTCAATAGAAAATGCACTGATTTTAGGAAAAAATAACTTATTTAGATTGCAGTTTTTTTTGCAGTGTTTAAAGGTATAGAGGACAATCTTTTATTTCCGGGTGGATCGTCTAAATAAGTGGTCCTCCTAATTGTCAATCTGGTGATATGTTTACATAAGGCCGTCCTACGCGCTCGTCCCCTTAGCTATCTTTTTCTGCGCACTTGCAGGCGTATATCTGTGGTGAGCAGCACTGGAAAAACGATCTAGAAATAAGTAAAAATGTCTTAAATTAAGTGTAGTTATCCATAATATGAATAGTTAAATTAGATGATTTGCCAATGGAATGAGTATTTTAACTCTTAAAACAAGATAATTAGGTAATATGCACTTGAAATAAAACAATGCAAGTGTGTTTTGTTGTTTTAAATGTAAATTGTCTTGTTCCATTAGCAAAATGTTTCTTTTACCTCCTCAAATTAAGAACAAATTCACTTATTTTAAGAAAAAAATGACTTATCTAGATTTAGATTTTTTCCAGTGAGCAGTTTCAGACAGTCATTGAAGCTCACCTTTCTTACCGCTGTTCTTTGAAAATGGCCAAGGGATGTGACAGAAAGTGTCTATGAAGTGTATGAGAAGAAAATAAAGGCCTCAGAAGAGGCAGATATATCCCAGAATGCTTTGCGCAGAGAGCTCTCCCTGCAAAACACTATGGGATTTGCTGTAAGTCATTTTTTCTTAAAATAAGTGCATTTGTTCTTGGATTGAGGAGGTAAAAGAGACATTTTGCCAATGGAACAAGACAATTTACACTTAAAA